TTCCGTGAAATCTCCAGCATGCAAGATCAAATAGAACTTAACACAAACCTGGACAATATATACAGTTGGTGCAGGGATTGGGGCATGGTTGTCAACGCAGAGAAAACTGTTTCCCTCCGCATAACGCGCAAAAAATCTCCATTCCAATTTCAGTACACACTGGGATCATGCGCGGTGAACCAAGTCAACAGCTTCAAATACTTAGGCGTAACGTTCACTAGTAATCTTTCCTGGAACTTGCACAAAGAAAACATCTGCTCCTCCGCTTTTCGAAAACTGTGTTTCTTGAGACACAAGCTTCGTAATTCGCCTCCAAGTGTTAAACTTCTTTGCTACCATTCATACGTTAGACCAAAACTTGAGTATGCTGCTGTAGTATGGGACCCGTATACCAAAAATAACATCGATAAATTGGAAAAGATTCAGAGGAAAGCTGTCAGGTTCATTTTTTCAAAATTTCGTCGCACGGATTCTCCCTCTGAATTAATGATTGCCAATAACATTCCCAAGCTTCAGTTAAGAAGACAAAAATTTCGTCTCGATTTCCTCTGCTCACTTACTAAACATAAAATTGGCTATCGACCCCTCCCTGTATATATCCGCCCTGACCACAAAACACACGCGGCACCATAACCCTAGATCGCTAACACCATACCAAGCGCATACCGATACTTACAAATTTTCATTTTTTTCCGCGTACCGTGGCTGAATGGAATTCCATTGCTGAGCCATACTTATTAGATACTGTATAGCCCCATTTTTTGTTAGTGTTGTTAATTGTGTGTTGGATTGACAATGCAATGTCCGCCGTTTCATTTTTTGTCCCTTTTGCTATTTTTGTATCATTGTGCTATTCAAGTGCTCGTCCTGCCAGGACCACAACTGTGGTCTGCAGTATGTATTAAATAAATAAATAAATAACTGGATGGACTATATGGTTCATGCAAATTTAATTTGTTTCACTGCAAACCTAAAAAAATGTACAAATGCGTATATGTACTAAAGGTTCACTTGGCTCTATTATGTATTGAATTTATGGGCGTATATTGCAGCAGACTCATTTCGAGCAGAAACAGGTAGAACTTCTGCTGTAATCTGTGCTACAAAATTTAGCAGTAAAGATATTTTCAGCGAATGTGACAACGAAGTAAACAATCTCAAACATTCACAAGGTGTGCATCTCATTAGCTGTACAAGTCGAAAAGCCTTATGCAATGACAAAAACTGTAGCGCATGCAAAAAAAAAAGGGGGGCCATCATCAGATGCAAAGCAGCGTATTTTCACTCCCCGGCGAACACGCCCACATTGTGCAAGATTATTTCCGTCTTCGTAGGCAGTTTCCGAGCGATTTGCCGGCGTTTAATTTTCACGCTGGAGGCTGCGCAGCCAACCGCCGGTGAAGCACAGCAGCTGACATGGTTCACAGCCTCTAAACACGTTCGCTTCGCCGTAGCGGCCCGTAAAGTCTGACACACAAGCTCGCATTGATATATCAAAGCTGAATTAAAACGGAGCTTCGCAATGCCGATCGACAAAAAGTACCGCGGCTAACCACGGACAATTTGAACATATTAACCGAGAGAAATGCAATCGATACCAATGGTCTGCTGCTTTTCGAGCGTCAAGATAATCTCAATACTTGAGCTGAAGCAATAACCGCTTCTGTATTATAAGTAAAAATAAATCAAAAATATTTATTCAATTTTTTATGAAAAGCGACGTAGTAACTACTCTTTTACCAGTTTTTTTTATAGAATCCGAAATAAAAATTTCAGCCGCGTTGAGCGCCCCTAACAGGAAATATGCACAATGACTTACCCGACCGCTAAAAGAGGAGTTAGTAGTTCTACTATAGGTACAAATGACGAAACTCGCCGTGGTCGATTTTTTCGCCCTATACGGCCATCGCTGGAACTTGAGACTTTCCCGGGCCTGGTAAAACCATATAACGCGTCCCAAATATCGCGCTCCAACAAGTGGCGCTAGCTATCCATGATTAGGAACAACTAAAACAAGAAGTATAAGCTATTCGAGATTCGGGGGGGCTCGCTAAGCCTACAATATTGATTATTTAAGTATAACTCTCAGAAACAGTGCTGAATACATTCGAGTACTGTGTTGTGGAAGCTTAAGTACACTAGTTTAAAGCGAATGGAATCATCAGTTTGGAGCTTACGAGCTACAGAGAGCACGGCGGCCGCTTGGTAGATTCGAAGCGTTAGCGCCTCGCCGGCGAAGCTTGCCGTGCACATTGAACAGCTCTCCCATGGACGGCGGTGGTCGCCGGTCTACGACATCGCACCGTCCGGACAGACCTGCCGCTAGCGTGAACCAGCCATTACGGTCTCTTAGTAAGGTACAGCGGCAGCGTGCGCCCGTCTGTCCGTACGTTCATGCGCCTTCACACCCTTTCAGCAAACACGCTATGGCACAGCCACACGCGCTGCAATGCTCCTTCATCAGACGTTTCATTGCAGCAGACGAGTTGGTCGGATGGCTCACAAGCGGCATAGTCAGTCGAATGGCCGCAGACTTTCGCCCAACACACTTTGGAATTCACAAAGTGTATTGCATTTTAAGCAGATATTGTTTATGACAAATATTTAGCATGAGTATTCCTGCTGGCCTATTGGGTTCATGAATGTGCGTGGGCTACAAAAATGTGGCTGTTTTAGCGCGACGAAAGAACGAAAGAAGGGGAGCGCAGCCCCTCCCTCATTATTTGATCCCGCATAATATTGTGGCCTGTGCAGAAGGTGAGTGCGGCTAGAGCCGATGGTAAATGTACCAAAGAGGTGTTTTACCATGCAACCTAACGGTGTGCCTTTACATATCATCACCGATGGCTAGCATGAAATCGAATATTGTATCTTGTAATCATCGTTATATTGCTGCACTCTTTTGCGTGTCAATCAATTTTTCTTCCTGCACTGGACACCAGCAGAGCACACAAGACCAAGGAGAATTCGGATCGCTCCGCTCACCGGAGAGCATCGTGCTAATCAAGAGGATGCTCATCAAGTGCGCAGACGTCTCCAATCCAGCCAGGCCCATCGAGTTGTGCAAGCAATGGGCGCAAAGGATTGCTGAAGAGTACTGCTCCCAGGTATGCCCGATAGTCCCATCGCTTCATTTTTCTCATACATATTTTTGTAACCGCAATCAATACCAAGGTGCCACAGATTGAATCTTCACGTAGCACAAAGCTGCAAATGTAACGCAAGCGCGGTGTACGTTGGCAAAGCTTCGTCCTGGCCAGGGATCGAACACTGCACCACGCAGCTCTTCTAGAATTGCAACAGTGAACATGTTTTGTAGTAGTGTAAACGTGCGGATATAGATGTATAGCAGCGCTAGCAAACGTAAAATTTTAGCCTGTATAAATATTGCGTGATCGTTCTGAAACAGCTTAATTGAAAAGATTCAGACTCAAGTTTATTCGTGGTGATCATTGCATATAAGTTTTTACAGAAGGACGCCTCAGGACTACAAACTTTAATGTAACATCTGTGCGCAAAAAGAATGCAAAGCACAATGGCAACACACAGAATTTATGACAGTGAAGTTTATTACGTGACACAGCACCAAATAAAACAGCGGATGAATGCAGTAAACAATTGCAAGGCTGTGGGCAAATTATCGACAGCGAGTACTAGAATGTACTTTGCAAAGAGAAAGCAAATATGCAGGCAACGAATGAAAAGAGCGAATATCACAATTCTGGAAAGTTCAAAGAAGCTAAAAAAATCGTTGTATTGTAGTAACAGCGTGAAAACGGCAGTAAGAAACAAAATAGACAGAAAGGAGCGCTCCTTTCTGTCTATTTTGTTTCTTACTGCCGTTTTCACGCTGACTGTCAAATGAATTTATTGAATATGCTATGACCACTAAACAAAGTGCGAAAAACAGTGCTCATGCGCGACGACACACGTGTGACCACGAAAAATATTCTTAACTCAGAGAAAAAAAAATCTCGCGGCAAGGCTAAGCGATGATGTGTTCATTCATCGATCCGTGGCCTTCCTGATAAGAAATAATTTTATATCTCTTTCCTTCTTAGTTCTTGCTTTGTTTTTCGAAAACCGTGTTTTATGAAACAGGGGAATGCGCTTACATTTTCTGCAGTGTACAGCCATGTGGCTATCATAGCCATTCTTAACGTTGTAGACATGCTGTCTTGTTCGGTCTTTGAAGAATGGCCCTGTTTGTCCTATGTACATTTTTCCACATGTCAACGGTATCTCGTACGCATCAGATTGGCATTCAGCAAACCTATAGCATGTCGTAGGCCCGTGTGCTCAGATTTGGGAGCACGTTAAAGAACCCCAGGTGGTCAAAATTTCCGGAGCCCTCCACTACGGCGTCTCTCATAATCATATGGTGGTTTTGGGATGGTAAACCCCACAAATCAATCAGTAAACCTATTCTCGTGACGAATGTTGCATGATCGACTATTCTTGTTGCTATTTAGCACACGCACTTTAGAAAGCTTGCAAGACGCGCAAAAAATTATTATCACATCTGGTCGCCATTTTTTTTAACTTTGAGATATACCGTATGTACGTATGGTATAACATACAAAGGTCTTTGGTAGTATTCTGTTTTCTTCTGGTCCTGTTTTGTTGAACTCTACTTTCTGCAGTAAGGGTTCGCAAACGGGAATGATGACGCTGTTGGGAAATCTATCGATGACCCAACTCGCCCATGCAGATTTAGATCTTGTCGCTAAAATAAACTGCTTCACTGTGGAACGAAACCTCCAAGTTTTCAGTTATAAATGAAATGGAAATGTTTCTGATGCTGACAGATGTAATTACTGTTTTCAGCAGTTGTTGCGAAAGCTGTGTAAAACTAAGTTTATAGTCTTCGTAACTACGTTAATATTGTTAATATCAACAAGAGGTGTCTTTGGTACGATGGTTATGTTGTAGATATATGAAGATTATGCGGCTTGCTCCAAGACGCCGTCTTCTTGTCTCCTTTTCCCCTCGTTTTTAAGACAGACGAGGAAAAGCGTCGTGGGCTGCCTGTAATGATGCCTGCCTTCGACAGAGCGACGGTCAACATCGCAAAGTCCCAAACTGGGTTCATCTCCTATTTCGTGCGTGACATGTTCAAGGCGTGGTCAGGCAAGTTGGCGTCACTGCCACCCCGTATGGCTTTATTGTGACGCGCTGAAGAGCTTGTTCCGCTGAAATTCCGGTCTGGTTGGTTGTGAGCAAAAAATAATTTTGTTCGGGACCAGTCCCAGCCACGGTGGTCTAGTGCCTAATGTATTCGGCTGCTGACCGCAGATCGCGGGTTCAAATACCGGCTGCATTTTAGATGGAGGCGAAAATGCTGTAGGCCCGTGTGCTCAGATTAAGGTGCACGTTAAAAAACCTCAAGGGGCCGAAATTTCCGGAGCCCTCAACTACGGCGTCTCTCATAATCATATCTTGGCTTTGGGAGGTTAAAGCCCACACATTTATCTATGTTCGGGACAAAAAGTCGAGGAAAATGCAAATTATATAAATAACTTTCCGGGTCCGAGTGAGGTTTGAACCCAGGCCACGTGCGTGGCAAGTAGGTTTTCTACCACACAGCCCCGAGATTTTAGGGGCGAAGCTCCTGCTGGCTAACCTTGTCACGCGTCGCGCGTCACCGAGAGAAGAAGAGCCGAGAAAGAAAAGCATTCTCGTCTCATTTCCTAGATGGCGTTACTCTGCCGCTACTCTCCGATTGGCCGCTGTGCGTGCGTTGCCTGAGTGCGCGAGGAACGAATGCCTCTTTCAGTCTCTGGATCATTGGCGTACGTGTCGGATCGTAGGCGGGGCATAAACAAAACAGAGCGGCGGGCGCATTGAAGACGCTTGCGCTCGGCTTCCTTGGCTTGCGTCTCGTCGGTGTTAGCCGCGCGCCGTCTGAATTCTCGAACGCGATCAGACGCATGAACGCATGCAAGGACGGATAGACACACGGAAGATTGAACGGACGGACGGATAGACAGACAAACAGGCATACAGGCGAACGGACGCACATACAGAAAGACGAATAGACAGACGGACGGATGCACGGACGGATGAACGTATGGAAGGACGGACGCATGAACACAGGAATGGATGACGCACTGACCAACACATGGACGGACGCACGGATGGACGAAAGCACGGACGTACGGACGGACGGATGCTTCGCCCTACTCATTATCATTCACTTCGTGGATATGCTGTGATTTTTTTCATGCTTTATTGTACAGAGAGCCACGAGATTATTGAAACTGCATTAAAGAAAACTATATAAATGTTATCGACTGGAAATAGTTTCTTTATGGACCTGTGTACGCGCTATCCTCACAACCACATCGCTCGTGGCTTGACACCTGCCACACGCAAGCGGACGGAGAAGTGCGTCGCCGACAGGCTCTTTCGCCCTCAGGTGCAGCTATGCGTATAGCGCGTGCACAGGCCTTAACGCATTATCTATGGCGAGGCATAACAATATTATCTGGCATTTTGCGTCTCAAAACTTCCATGTTTGTGAGAGAGGGCGTAATGAAGGGCTCCGGACATTTGGACCATATCGTCCTCTTTAACGTGCACTGATGTCCTTTCACGTCATAGTATCACGCGTCCCCAAAATTCTGTCAAACGCGTTGCCGATTTTTCTACTAGCAGTGCGGTGTGTTTTACCCGCCGACAAGGAAGGTGGCTTCGCCGTTTTGCCTACAGGCACGTTTTGTGCTGAAGCAGATGAGGCCATCTCCAGTGTTTTTAAACAAAATGATGACATCACTCTGCCTAAGGCTAAGGCGCAGGCCAAAAAAACTTTGTCGCAGGCTCAATCTCGATAAGTTGCGGAAGAGTATTAATGATAGCAAGCGATGTTACCTCCAGGTGTTGTTCAGTGTTAAAACTAACAAACTAGACGTCTCTTTAAGGGTAATTGTATCAGAGAATGACACACGGCAGAAGTCAGTCACTTTGTTTCTTCAAGCCAAGCTTAATCGTTTGCCCGCGACGGATCCGTTCTTGATTAGGAACTCGGATCAAGTGGTTGGGTTTTTGAAGGACCATCCCCGAACAGGCTATCAAGCATTTTCGGTAGACAAAAAATATTTGTATTGTTCAATCCCTCTCAGTGCTCTGTTGTCTTCCAATGAACATGCCATCGATGAATATGGCGCCACGCGCTTTCAAAACGAAGCTTCATTGTCGATGAGTCATTTTTTAGAACTTTTATCATTTTATTTATCGTCCACTTTTATTTGTTGCAACAACGCACTGTATTGGCCAAAAAAAGGGCGTGTGTATCGGTTCGTGTATAGCACCTTTTCTTAGTGATTTGTTTTATCTGGTCTTAGCATTACCTTTTCTAAAACGCTACAAAACACCAAAGTGTGCAAAGTTTTTCGCTTTGTCGACGACTTCCTGTTTTTAATTGACTGCACTTCTGTTGACGTAGAGGCGAGGGTTGATGATGTATTGCCCGCGATTAAGGAATGTCTCGCGCCCCAGGAAGTCACTTGCGAACTTCCACAGGGGGGTTCTATTCAGTTTTTTGACCTCAGGTTATTTTTCTCGGAAAACCACACGTGCTGGTGGTATGAGCCGCGAGCGAATAAGCCTCTTCTTTCGTTCGCTTCCGCGCATTCAAAACTCATTAGGAGGGGCATCCCAAACTTGTGTTTTAAAAATGCCGTGACCAAATCGTGTCACCACAAGATGGCATCCAGTTTCGAGACCCAAAGCAAGCGTCTAACCGAAGCAGGCTACCCAATTGTGTTACAGGTTTCTGCAGTCGAACGCATTCTCCAAAAGTCTCGAAAGAAAACAAGCGTGAAGTTTAGGAGTGCTCGGCCTGCAGAGTAGGTGCAATCCCTAGATGCACACAATTTCTCACAACTTAAAGAAAGTGGCCCAGAGGGCTAATGTACTGTACGTGTCGTTTTTTCATCGCCCAAGAAACTAGGGGAGCTTTGCATCACTTGTCCAAGAAATGTTGCTCCCCCAGCATGTGATAAAAAACAGTAAGCTAGATTTGTTGATTGTGTATCCTGTGTCATCTACAAGTTTCCATTATCCTGCGGGATGTACTATATTGGACAAACAAAACGGTGTCTGAATGACAGATGACGTGAGCACTACTATAACGCGAGAAATAAGCTTACGGCGGGAGGATTGCTGGCGGCACACTGCAAAGGCTGTGGGTGCTCCCATAATCTGTATAGTTGCATAGTTATCGGTCGTTCTAGAGATCGGCTTACACGGGAGATAAAAGAAGCCGAGGATATAGAAGAATTAGGCCATTTTTCTGTAAGCTCGTCATCGATTTCCTTGTCAGAAAAGAAAATGACGTTGCTTTGTTTAAGAACACGTGCAAGATGAGTTGTGCTTTGTCGCGGATGTATAAAATGGGTGTGATTGGCATGAAATAAACAGTTGGAAGTTTAGCGCCTACCTATCTCTATGTCTGTGTCGTATCCCTTTCTTTTATGTACTGCGCTAATACACGCTACGTTTATGCATGACCAACTCGCCCGATCAGCAACCCTTCCGCTGTAGAATTCTTTACGCGTCGCGCCTTCGGGGCAAGCAGCGAGCCTAAAAGGAAAATTCCTACGGCCGAATAAGGCGCCGTTTAGAAAACAAACGACGAGTCTCGCACAAAAGGGTGAGGGAAACAACGCATCTGACAATGGGGCGTCGGCAGAGGCAAGCAAAAGGAAATTTGAAACGACAAAACCAGCAGTTTGTTTCAATTGCCACGAAACAGGGCTCTTCGCGATACATTGCCCGAAAGAAAAGGTGGCCTTTTTATCCATAAATGAAGCCGACGAGAACATGAAGTTCTTAGAGCCCTATATATACGACCTTACCGCGAACGGCAAGCAGTGTCGGGGTCTTAGAGACTCCGCAGCCACTATGGACGTAGTTCACCCGTCCTTTGTTCCATCCGGACAGTATTCAGGAGACTGTTTTTGGATTATACAAGCCGTAGAGGCAAACAGTTAGTGCCTCCCATGGCTAAAGTTGTCTTTAAAAGTCTATTTGGTACGTTGTAAACGGAAGCCGCGGTATCGCCATGTCTCCCCCCTCAGTATCCTTATTTTCAAATAAGTCACATCAAATTCTTAAGTAGAAACGTCTCACGTTGGGAGAAGGCATTGTGCAGGCACTGACTAGATCAAAGGCACGTGCGCTGGCTGCGGGAGCAGCATTCGCTGAGGGCCCCGCCGCGGTGGTCTAGTGGCTAAGGTACTCGGCTGCTGACCCGCAGGTCGCGGGTTCGATTCCCGGCTGCGGCGGCTGCATTTCCGATGGAGGCGGAAATGTTGTAGGCCCGTGTGCTCAGATTTGGGCGCACGTTAAAGAACCCCAGGTGGTCTAAATTTCCGGAGCCCTCCACTACGGCGTCTCTCATAATCATATGGTGGTTTTGGGACGTTAAACCCCACAAATCAATCAATCAATCATTCGCTGAGGCAAACAAACCTCAAATCGACAATGGGCCTAGTCGCGAGTTGGACACCGCGGTATCAAATCAACTTGTGCGAAAACTGGCTGCTGAAGCCGTAGTCGCTGAGACAACCATACGTCAAGGCAACGAGGAGCCTCCTCCCGAATCGGTAGCGTCAATGACGCCTCGTTGACCAGGCAAATAGAAAAGACCGTTGCTCCCGAGCCGACTCATGGTAAGACCGGGGACAGCACAGAGGGTGACACATTCCAGGTACTAGGAACTACAAAAGAGTTGTGTGTCATGCCAACTTCGGATAACTTCAGTCGGCTGCTGCGAGTGAGCGCCGCTTTGTTAATAACCAAACAAAAGGGGGGCCCAACGCTTAGGAAATTCTAGGACAGTTCAAAAGAGGGAATCGCCAAACGAATTGTGACATTCCAAGAGAGGAGAAGCATACTCTATCGAAAATGTCTAGACAGGCGAGGAGTAGAGTTCGACCAGGTAGTTGTGACTCAAGCGTATCGCCAGGATTTGCTTCGTTTGGTGCATCGAGGAGCATGGTCAGGCCACTTAGGCGTAAAGAAGACGAAAAGTCGTCTTTTGCAGGAATACGACTGGCCTGGACGTTTTAAAGGTGTAGAAAGATTTGTAAAATCTTGTGACGTGTGTCAGCGAGAGGGTAAGCCGG